GACTCAGTCTCAGTTCTGTTATTTTAGCTGAGTTATGGGTTTTTTATGTAAACAATAAAAATTTCTTGTCAAAAACTACAGAGGATACCACAGTCCATCACTTTCATTGTTTTAAAAAAATCCTGAATTTGGAAGAAAATTGCTTAGAAATGCTTTCTGTGCATAATAAACTTGTGTTAAAGGAGAATAACAGTTCCAATGGGTTGCAGATAATGTGAACTTACAGAGGGATGTGCTTCAGGGGGTTGTTTTTGCAGATGATATTTCATATGGATTATGAACTTTGCCCTCCATATTTCAATAGGAATTTGTGTAAACATCTTGCCAGGAAAATACTGGGGAAAAAAATAGCTGGAAAAAGGCAGCCAAATACACAGCAAAGTGTTGAAGTTAAAAAAAAAATACTAATAAAAAAGATACTAATAAAAGAAAAAAAAGAGAGTTGTATAATGATTCACAAACTCAAGGAATTCGAGATGGAGGGGGCACCTAGATTTCCTTAATGAAATTAATTTCTCTGCTCTGAAGCACTCAGTGGCTTCTTCTCGTGTACTTTGACAAGTCCAAGTGCTTTGTCAAGTTCAGCATCAGTGGCAGGGACCTTGTGCTGGCTCCTGCAGCTCAGAGGATGCAGCAGGGAACACTGACTGGTCAAAGGGATTAGAGCATCTTGCATTTATGGATTTCAAAAGTCAGATCTTTCCAAATGAGGGATTTGTGTGTTTTTGCAGGCTCAGGGAAGCAGCCGGCTGTGAAAGGTTAACCTTTGCTGTGGGATTTCTGTTCTCTTTCGTGTGAGACACAAACTTACTCACCATAACAACCACTGAAAACTGTGTGGCATGAAACAGTAAAAATGGAAAAAGGCAGCAATGCCCATCCTTGAAGGAATATTAATTCAGAGCAGCTTCAGTTCCAAAATGGAAAGATGTACAAAATCCCATCATTCAGAATGGCAATTTTGAACTGGAAGTTTTGGAGCTGTTCCTCTAATCTGGGTATAAATACTGGCAAACCTGCTAAAATCTGTGCAAGTACAATGCTTAATTCTGGCTTGGATTCCCTTCTGACTTCTGTGACATTACCATGTGATGTTAGATACACACAGGTGAAATGTCTTCAAAACATTCAGAATTGCATGGGGGAAATCAGAGTATATAAATTAATTACTTTTTTACCAGGTTTTGTCACTTTGTTTGCATTTTTCTTTATTGTGAAATTATAATGATATTAAACTAAGTTTTGACTGTGTTATGAACCAAAAAATTTGAATAAAAACACAATATAATAATAAGGAATATCTATGTTTTTGGTGTTAATGAATTGTAACTTAGGTTTTTGATGATTCAATGTTTAATTTTGTACTCCTCCCATCTTCATAAATGCTTATGATATTGCTAAACATCAGGAGGTACAGCTTCTGTAGCTCACTCCCAGTTTCCTTAACCACAAAGACCCAGAAGGATGAAATTCCAGCACAGCCCTCAGGAGGGTGTTTGTGGCTGTGGATGCCAGCTGACCCTCTCCATCCTCTCCAGGAAAAAAGTGCACACTTGTGTAGAAAGAATTGGCATTTTCATCCATCAGACCAGGCTGTACCTCCTGGGAAGTTGGGAGAAAGATGGCACACATGAGTTTTAGAGTGTAAACTGATGGCAGAGGATCCTTGCAAAGGGAAAAGATCTTTGAGGACATTTAGAGACCTTAAGAAGTGTCAACCTGCCAGACCCACCACTAAATCCCTTCCCTGTGCCACTTCCACACATCTGAACACACCTGGACAGCAGATTTGAGAAGCAAAAGGGTTCCCACCCATTGCCATGGACCAGGGCATTACAGGTAAAAACAAATAAATACTTTCCTGCACCTCTCAGAGCCTTTTTGCCACACAACATTATTTCTGGGAGCTGACACAGTGCAAGGCACACTAAGGAAAAGCATTAGTTAGGTCAGCACCACTTAAAACCTGGAATGTCATCAAAAGAAGATACAGTCCACAAAGCAATAAAAATGAGGTCAAAGTATGTTCATATTTCAGCTCTACAGCTGCTACCTGAATGCTGAGCCCTTAAAATGAGTGATATTTGTGTCATTCTGTTTTTGCTGAGTGAAGTACAGCTGCCACACCAGGGCTGTGTTTGAGGAAGCTGCCAGACACACAGTGTTTAACAACTCAACTACTAAATACAACAGTCTCACTACTGGAATATTTTACAATAATCCAGTCACTTGAAGTCCTTGTCCCAGCAGTTTCCATGCTGCAAACCCTCATGTGAGTAGAAAAACATTCTTGCAACAATCTTGCTGTTGTTTTTTCTTGCACCTGACCAACTGATGGATTGTCCACAGTGCAATTGTTGGAGAGGGACAAGAACTGTTAATTAAATTGGTAAATGGACATGCAGCAAAGCAGATGTTTGAAACACAGAAAGCAGAATAGAATAGAATAGAATAGAATAGAATAGAATAGAATAGAACAGAATAGAATAGAATAGAATAGAATAGAATAGAATAGAATAGAATAGAATAGAATAGAATTAGAATAGAATAGAATAGAATAGAATAGAATAGAAATAGAATAGAATAGAATAGAATAGAATAGAATAGAATAGAATAGAATAGAATAGAATAGAATTATAATAGAATAGAATAGAATAGAATAGAATAGAATAGAATAGAATAGAATAGAATATAATATAATATAATATAATATAACATAATATAACATAATATAATATAATATAATATAATATAATATAATATAATATAATATAATATAATATAATATAATATAATATAATATAATATAATTAATATACCATGTCTAAATGCGTGAACAATGCGTGGGAAAATGTAAACGTGAGATGCACACTCCCCACCCTGCTGCTCTCAGGTCCTTTGTCTCCAGGCTCACCCAAGCAGGAGGTGATTTCCATTCTCCAGGATCACTGATTCAGAGGATGCCTTTGACAAGAGCACATTCCCCATGCCAGGGGCCTGGCTTTGCCTCAAATCCACCTCAAGGGACTTGTACTGACACTGAATCTTACAAATTCCTTGTATGTGATAGCCCTGAAATGTGCTTTTTCTAACTATGTGTGTACATATTCTAAGATTATTCTGCCTCATTATGTTCTCTCTAAATTAATGAATTAAGGCCTAAGAATAAGTGATATCTCAGCAGAAAGATCCCATGGGTTTTGGTGTGATGTTTGTTTTTTGTGCTATGAATGAGATGCTTTTTAACTGTGGTACTTTGCCTCAGAAAAAGTTCAGCTCTCTGGGCTGCACTTTACCTATAAAAATTTGTTAGAATTCCCTGACATCCTTTACCTAACATCATTTTGGACAAGACTTTGCTCCAGTCCAACGTAAGAACTGACTAATCATTGTTTGCTTTCATACAGAAGCAGTATTTTCAATGGACAGGACTTTTTTCCCTCACTGTAAAAAAACAGTAGAGAGACCCTGATTACAAGGGTTCCTTTATATTAAATGCAGATGAGTTTGTTGATTTTTGCTTTCTGGTGTGGGTTTTTTGTTTTCATTAATTTTGGTTTTTTACTGGAGGGGTTGTCTCTGTTGCTTTAATCATGCAAGACAAAAACAGTAGAACAAATGACCAGAAGAGGTGATCAATGCTAGAAACTCCTTCTGATCCTCCTTTATTCTGTTTAGAGTGTAAGCCCCTCTGGAATTGATAGGAATTTGGTTTGAAGCCCAAATTCACAAAGATATTATGGAGTATCCAGCTTCTTGTCCATTTCCTGGAGTCTGGCAACCTTTGGGAATTTGGGCCTCCAGCACTTCTTTTAAAGTCTTCTTTGAACATGCAGTGAAATTCTTGGGGTACAGCACAAGGAGGAAAAACCATGTGGAAACTGGGGAAGACACACACAGATAACAAAATGATGATGCTGCCCGAATATTTTTTAGAGAAATTCGAAGGGAATCATCAGTCAGTGGGGTGCTGGCCAGGCAGCTGCAGGTCCTGTCCCCCCTCTGAGCCCAGAGCATCTTTCGAGAGCCTTCTCTGGCAAGCAAAGCACAGGATGGAGGTTCCACACAGCTCCCACCGCCCTCTTCCATCCAGCCTGGCCGGAGCACCGGGAGAACCAAGGGCTCGGCTCTGAACGGGAAACTCGCACTGCTCCTTCCTCTCGGCATCTCCCCGTGTCGCTCGGCATCTCCTCCTCTTCTCTCAGCATCTCCCCCTTCTCTCAGCATCTCCCTGTTCTCTCAGCATCTCCCTCTTCTCTCAGCATCTCCCTCTTCTCTCAGCATCTCCTCCTGTTCTCCCAGCATCTCCTCCTGTTCTCTCAGCATCTCCTTCTTCTCTCATCATCTCCTCCTCTTCTCTCAGCATCTCCTCCTCTTCTCTCAGCATCTCCTCCTCTTCTCTCAGCATCTCCTCCTCTTCTCTCAGCATCTCCTCCTGTTCTCTCAGCATCTCCCCCTTCTCTCAGCATCTCCCCCTTCTCTCAGCATCTCCTCCTGTTCTCTCAGCATCTCCTCCTCTTCTCTCAGCATCTCCTCCTGTTCTCTCAGCATCTCCTCCTGTTCTCTCAGCATCTCCCTCTTCTCTCAGCATCTCCTCCTGTTCTCTCAGCATCTCCTCCTGTTCTCTCAGCATCTCCTCCTGTTCTCTCAGCATCTCCTCCTCTTCTCTCAGCATCTCCTCCTGTTCTCTCAGCATCTCCTCCTGTTCTCCCAGCATCTCCCCGCTCTCCCAGCATCTCCTCCCCGCTCTCGGGGCGGGGGTTCCGGGGGCTGCGGCTCCTCCCGCTCCGCTCCGCCCCGACCGCCGGCGCTGAGCGTGGGGCCGGCAGCGGGGCC